TCTCTCCCTCTCTCTGCAATGATGCGCCCCAAAAAAGGACTCGTTTCCTGCCATTTTGCTTAACTTTCATTGTTTGGCCTGGGGTGGGAGGGAGGAGGTTGCTAATTTTACTTATATCACTGGGAAGTCCCAGCACTTTTTGACCTCCACTGTTACAAACGTGGAGGTAGCCTTCCGTTTGAACGTCAAACATTTATCATAATAAGTTCTAGTGTTATGACAGATAAATTGCCCCACTGAAATCTAAGCCTTTATACAAATAGTCCAAATAAAGGGATATTAAAAAATTCGGTGCAATAGAAATACGCCCGAACAAACGCTCCTCCTTCTGCTAATGGCAAAAAGCACAACACAAAATGCAAAAAGGTTAACTAAACACAAACGGAACCGACAACAAACCAACTGTAAAAACCGAATAAACAGGACAGATTTTTCGCGCTCTGCCCTTCATCGGTGAAAGTCCATGATGAAGGGTATCATCTCCTCTCTCTCTCTCTCTCTCTCTTTCTTTCCGAAAAGACGTGACATTCGTGAAAGTGGGTAGCCTAGAAAGTGGGCTAAGAGTAGTCCCATAGGATTGTCGCGACTGCAAACGTATGAGGGAGGAGTCTCAAGTTCCTTTCTTGAGTCTAGACTCGAAAGAGTGAAGCGCGCGATTTTTCAACCCCCTCTCGCGTGCGATGCTTCTCGGACTCTCTTCCCGCTTGTCTCGCGCGCGTAATATAAATGGCGAAACAGACGTGTGCGCAACCAATCGCATTTTTAATGACATAGATACAGGCAAGAACATCGTGCATCGATTAACCTGGCTTAAATTCGTGGTTTGGTGATTTGATTTCAGTTCCGCAAAGAAAAAGGAAATGCCTGGAACAGAATATACAGAATATAATGCATAAAGGGATCAGACAACAGTTCTATCTTCTACCTTTTACCATATTCCTTCCAGTATAAACGCCCACTTCTCACAACTGGAAAAATAGAAAGAAACAATAGAGTAAGAGTGAATGAAATAAACCCTACCTTAGACTCACTGTCCCTTGTATACTTCGATTTCAAACCAAATCTTCCAGTACTGTCTGAATATTTTGTGCGATCAAGCGCATATGTGCATTCGTCGCAGTGTGGCCATGGATCTCGACGAGCATTATTTCTCCTCTGAAAATGGACGTGATTCAGATGATACGAAAACCAAAACGTGTACTGCTCCCAGGCGCGTTCAGAGTTCATGATTCGTCGACAGAATTCTTCAACTCCCAAATCTCCTTTACATTTAGTTCAGAGCAAACTGTTCAAATTTAACTTTTCGAGTTAAAAATTAGCCTTGATAAAACATGTCCCAACTTAAGAAAGTCTAGACAGTGCAAACTTCGATACAAGTGCATAAAAAGGAAAAAAGTCAAACTGTCTAGTTCATAAGAGCTCAGAAAAGAGGAAATATAACGGAACAATTCGCGTGCGTTATGGAAGCTAACGATGGATATACTATTGTCTAATCGGAAGCAACATTTCCAAGGATAAACTGAAGTGCCAAAGAAACAAAACCCGCAGCAAACTTGATAAACAAACAGCAAAAGTCATTTCAAATTCTGGTAGTTAAGAATACTTGCGTTTTTTTTTGTGTTTTTTGTGAATTCTTAACCATGTTTGTTGCTAACCACATCAACTACAATTGGCAGATAAAATCGAAACACAATACGTTCCCATTAGACAAAGCAGGTGCAATTCTCTTCTGTTGTAAATAATACATTAACAACACTGAATATAAGTGAGGAAANAGTACTGTCTGAATATTTTGTGCGATCAAGCGCATATGTGCATTCGTCGCAGTGTGGCCATGGATCTCGACGAGCATTATTTCTCCTCTGAAAATGGACGTGATTCAGATGATACGAAAACCAAAACGTGTACTGCTCCCAGGCGCGTTCAGAGTTCATGATTCGTCGACAAAATTCTTCAACTCCCAAATCTCCTTTACATTTAGTCCAGAGCAAACTGTTCAAATTTAACTTTTCGAGTTAAAAATTAGCCTTGACAAAACACGTCCCGACTTAAGAAAGTCTAGACGGTGCAAACTTCGATACAAGTCCATAAAAAGGAAAAAAGTCAAACTGTCTAGTTCATAAGAACTCAGAAAAGAGGAAATATAACGGAACAATTCGCGTGTGTTATGGAAGCTAACGATGGATATACTATTGTCTAATCGGAAGCAAAATTTCCAAGGATAAACTGAAGTGCCTAAGAAAAAAAACCCGCAACAAACTTGATAAACAAACAGCAAAAGTCATTTCAAATTCTGGTAGTTAAGAATACTTGTGTTTTTTTTTGTGTTTTTGTGAATTCTTAACCATGTTTGTTGCTAACCACATCAACTACAATTGGCAGATAAAATCGAAACACAATACGTTTCCATTAGACCAAGCAGGTGCAATTCTCTTCTGTTGTAAATAATACATTAACAACACTGAATATAAGTGAGGAAACATTGTATTTATTAATCGCCTGCTGTCAGAAGGCAGATCGGACTGCGTTTAAGATGCCTCGAATTCTTCTTGCTGACTTGAAAAGGGCTGTAACCTTAACGTAATGTGGCGACAAGAATTTTCAGAATGTTTCTAACAACTGTTTAAAAATTGTATCACAGAGGGCACAGGGACAATGTTTTAACTGTCCATGCTAAGTAACGAAAAGCTCTTCTAAGTATGCAAGTTCATAATCTATAGCTCTTTCACGTCAAGGTATAGTCTGATACACAACCCTTTTTAGTGTCGTCACGCAACGCTTTTTTTTAGTGGGGAGGAGCGTTGCGTGACGACACTAAAAACGGCTGTGTAGCAGACTAGTCAAGGGACTGACCGAGTCTGAGTCTTTTGTACCGAAGAACTCATTCGTGGAAAAAAAACGTTGACAGGGAAAACAGGACTTCGACATCATTTCTTCTTAAGGGATTTTATCTGATTTAGCCATAAAAAAATGCAAAAAATACAACTGATGTGAAGGAGATGATATTTTACTCTCAGCCCTTCCTAGAGGCAGCATGCTAATAATGGAAGTGAAACATTTGTTGGTGAGAAGAAGGAAAAATGTAACGCTGAAAGTGGGAAGGGGGACGGGAGAACATGAATAATGTTCAAAAATGCAAAAGGTATAGATTAGCAAAACAACAACTCTGCACGGGCATCACGCTTTTTTGTACATTTCTTTCCCGTCACTGCACGACTGCGACGTGAAAATGTCTAATTCCACGTTTTGTGGAGGACGTGAACACAAGACAACGGCTTTCTTTTTCTTGCTTGAACTTCGATACAGTCTCTTAGAATTCGTCAACTCCAGAAAAAATTGCCAACTCTTGACTAACTGAAAGAAATGGAATAAGCGCGATCAAATTTGAAGCAGCGCGACTGCACGTTTTAAGTGACGTTTTCGTTGCCGTCGCCGTCGTTGTTGCTTAAGCTCACTAAAGCGTCCGAACGGGTTTTGGGGCGCTGGCGCAAAGCGCGAGACAACAGAGAGAAGGGTAAAGAGAGCTTCGTGCTCGCGCCCCAAAACCTGCCTGAGCGCCAAAAGTTGGAGGATATTAGCCAGGATATTTAATACCGATGACACAGTTATTTTCCATGATTCGTTCTAGAGAAATAGTTTGGGAGTCAGTCTTTTTTGTTTGATTTTCTGTGTGCTCCGTGGATCTCGCTTTTTCCACCGCCTAACACAGCTCACAGTCTGCTATTATGGCTCTTGAGTCTGCAGAACTGTACACAATTTTAGCTGCAGGTGGATTCGCCAAGACAGCATAGTCCGTGATGCTGAAAATGACCCCTTGTAAAAAAATTGTCATGCAAGTACACGCAAAACTGAATAGAGTTACGTTTAGTATTTATTGAATCCACCTAAAAAGACATCACTACATAAATTTATAGAATTCGTTTTCTAGCTTAACTGCCTTATATGTTCTACAGTATTTAAGTAGTTTATAAAAATATAACCTGGCTCCTCATATTATAATTTTTTCTTTTTTGAATACGGATTAGAATATTGTTAATTCAGAGTGTCACTCTCTTGGTCGTAATGCGGACACTTTACGCCACGCTGTTTGCGGTTGTATTACAAGTCAGAATGAGGTCGCCCAGAACATAACTAACACGTTACGTCGCAAAAAGTCTAACTGATGAGCCGGTAATTGTCGTAAACTGAAGGAAATATATGTGATCACTCTCTCCTCCGCACAGCAGGCGATAAAACTGAAAGATCAATCTGCCAATGTCTACCACCTTACTCACAGAGACAAGAGCCCCTTTGAGCTTCTGTGGAGGAGAGAGTTGAGTTAATGAATAAATGTAGCCTGCGTAGCAGGCGCTTGGAAGTAGTGGGCGAAAGAGAGAACAGGGACGCGCGAGGTGTCTCCTTCTCTCGCGCGCGTTTTTTCTTGTGCCCACTACTTCCAAGCGCCTGCTACGCAGGTTAGAGCAAATGTAGTCAACTCTACAGACAACTCCACAATACAGACACTCTCCCGCCCCGTGCAAGGGAATCCGGACTCTGGTATCTGGGAAATGTTTGCTTGTAGAATCCGTAATCCGGGAAATTTGAATTGTGGAATCTAGAATCCTGGGCTTTGGAACCCAGACAGCACAAGGAAACCGAAATCCCACAAACGACTGGAATCTGGAATCCAAGTTCCCCTGTGGAATTCAGAATCCACGGCGTGGAATCCAGAATCCAAGACTGTCTTGGATTTCCTTATTTGGGGCAATCTCTCTATTACTAACAGTTCTACTTGTCTAGAAGATACCACACTTCATACGCTGGCAATTTTAGCGACATTGTCTTTCTGGTCCCCTTAATGTTAAGAGGGTTTGATATTGTAGCACTTTCATAATAAAACTGGAAAAAAATGACATCACAAGTTTCCTTCCACGACATTTAAATCTCTCAAAAACTGTAGTAACAAATTAAATCAGACGTGGAAATGTTTGACATTAGCACTATTCAGGCTGTTCATCCAACTACAACTTGGCTTGGTCCTTGAAAAGTTGACCCAGCTTTGTAGTGAGCATGATATTACCTTTGACCTTCAACTTGCTCTTCATGAATAGCTCTTGAGGGTTTGCTTTTCCCATAGCGATAGCAGCCAGATCATCATCCTCAACAGTTATGGTGCAGTCGGCCTTGCCTTGCTTGCATGGACCTTCCGTCACGGAACCAGAGCCAGTTTTGAGGTCCACAGTCCACTGACCAGCGGTCTTTCCACCCTTTGTAATATTCCACTCAAATATGCCCTTGACTTTCTTAACAAGTTCAGGGTGATCTGAGATGCGTTTGCCAATCTCTTTGAAAAGAGCTTCACTCTTGAGGCCTGATTTACCTGGACTAGAGACTAACGCATGCACATCCTGTTTCAAAAAGACAATAATCCAAACCATTAATATGTCAAAATTACCTCAAGTAAAGACTGGGAAAATTCCACTCATTTCGGCTCCACTACGCGGTACAACATGAATAAAAAAACCATTAGGTTTATTTTGACTGTTTTGGCCGAGCACCGTGAGATATAGCAAGTCAAGATTTTTTTTTGCATGAATCAGCAACTACATGTGCAACTTTTTTTCACATGGCAGTTGTGTGAAAAGGCATAATTACATATGATATGGCCTTGAAACAGCGACATAATTCTAAATGAAATGGCGACAAACATGAACTTGAAGATGGGTTAAACACTGACAATGACATGGCCTTCTCCTCAAATCATGAAACAACCATGTTTAATACTCAGACTGGGGACATACGTACCCCTCCTAAGAGGGCTTTGTTAATGGCCCAAAACTCACCACAGCACCCTGTTGTGTGTTTTGCAGACTTCACCTTTTCATACTAGAGGTCAAGCCATTTTCAGGTTACTATCTACCCAAAAAGAAGCAAAACCACCAAAAACGTTGTTAACAAGAACTTACTGGCATTGTTGTCTTGGCATCATCCATGTCCTTCAAGTCAACATATCCTCCTGACAACACCAAATGCCCACTTTCTACCACTTTACACTGGAAAAAGATTCTGTTACCATCTCTCCACATATCTGTCTGAATTGTTTGTCCAGGATAGACAGGCTTTGAAAACCTTGTTTTGATGGCCTTGAATTTAGTGACATCATTGTTCGCATACTGCCTCAGAATATGACGAGCACCAAAACCAAATGAACAAAGGCCATGCAGGATAGGAGATGAAAAACCTATTTGAAGGAAACCAAAGAATAACTGTACTTTTAGTGCTAGTCTGGCAAATTATGGTTTCAGGAGCAAGTATTTCAAAATAAGAAACTTTCATATTTCGTTATAGGTTTGTAATGTTTCTAATATTATAGTCATCAAGATTGTTGAAGGACTGGAATAGGACAGATGCAAAAAAGCCTACAAATTATTTCTCCACCTTCAACTCATTAGAATTTAGCTAGAATCGCATTTACAATTGCTGGAACCCTTCCTGATTTTTCCTGTTTCCAACTTAAGAAAGTTGGCAATCATTAATTTCAACCTTTGTGAATGGATACCTTACACTTTATCAGAGGGTAATGAAGTCTACACTATATTAAGCAGTCAAACAAATTATGTGAGACTATAGTTCCTGCACCCACTGACAAAATTAATCATAGGAGACGGATCCCTGCTACCCTGAGAGCAGAGCCTCTTTGATCTTCCAAGAAGATTGAAGAGCCTTTGCTCATTGGGTAAATCCCTGCTTTTGCCATCCAAAATGAACTGTACAAACTTTTTATTTTGTTGATTTACTGATAACCCAAATAATACTAAACCATCACTAAATTTCCTTTTATTTGCAGATGTATCATGAAAAAAAAAACACACACACACACACACACAAACAAATATCTTATTTTCACAGACAAGTCACCAAACACCTGCAATAATACTGTACCTCCCATCTGTGCAAAATTAGGATCAATGTGAATTGGGTTGTAATCTCCACTCAGCCGATAAAATGCTGCTTGGCAACAACTTGTCTTCTCCCTAATGCTAGCATCTGGTGCACGACTGGGCATGGAAACAAGTGGCTTGGCATGTTCTGACCGCCTTTTCCCGCCAAAACCTCCAGCACCACCAATATAGAATGAGAACTGATTAAAGCAAACAGCTTCTCCTTTTTCATCATTAGTAGTGACATTGATGAGCACTAGAGCTCCTTTCCCTTTATCCAGAATGTCAGCAACTTCTGCCTTGCTTGTTAAGGTGGCTGCTGTTGGCAGAGGTTTGAAAAGTTCCAGATACTGCTCCCCATGAAGAGCCTGTGAACGTTAGGAGAATACAGGAGTGGAATAAAAAATAATTGTCTTGAAGAAAATATAGCTTAAACTTGTCATAACATGTACAGACTGCAGTTTTACCAGTTTACTCATAACTGTAACAAAATTCTCTAATCTGATTTGCTATCTGCAGCATTGGTTTCAGCATTAAATAGGTTTGCGTAATAGGACAGTATGTGTCATGCCTAAGTACCTTATGGGAAGGCACATGCCATGGAGCATGGGTGCACATGCACTTAGATTTTTTTTTCACTTCTAGCAAAGGTTCTCAGAAGAACTTATGACATTAGCAAGTATGACTGTCATATTTTATTGCTTGCAAAAAGAGTATATGGGGAAATTCTTATCAGGGCCCTCATAATCTTAAAAAATATCTTTTTAAACCTTTGTTGGGTCAAAAGGAAGTCCAGCCGCCTCCAGTGCTGCTGCTGTAACAGATCCTGTAGCACTCTGGAAAATAAAGAGAAACAAACAAAGCATATATTAAAGTGATACAGTTAGAAGTTTATATCTAAGATCAGCAAGGCTGTCTCTAAGGAAAGTTTTAGGGAGGCCAAAACCTATAATTTGTGAAAAGCAAGGTGACCTGTATATAAGCTTTAACAAACAACAAAATACATTTTCAAAGCAAATGTAAGTTGGTAGGGATCATCATTTGTTACATCTATTTTTGGAACAATTCTTTAATACAGATGCTTTTTTCTACATAAAAAAGGTTAACCAAATGGAAACAACTTTGAAATGGGCTGAGTATAAACAATATTTCTGCACACTGAATACACTAGAGACTATTTTTCTGATCAAAGCCCAGTTGATCCTAGGTTAATTCTCATCAGCACCAATCCACCAACTTGATAAAATTAAATGAAGATTAATCTGCAACAACATCCATCATGAGCTCCAGATTCATATCACAAAGATGCTGCTGACTAAAGCCTCTCTCTCTGGAAAAAAGATTGATCTTACCTCTGCCCCTTTTATAAACCATATATTATACTACTTACATTGAGTATCTTACTTAGCAAAGAAATTGTGCATCTAGGGTTTCCAAGCAGAGTTGCAGATTTTCTTTCACCTATAGATTTCATTGCCTATAGCATTTTGATTGCCCAAAATTTTGCATAACCATTGTCTTTGATTTCTATTGGAATGACTGTAATACCCTGGAGAAGTGGGAAACAATGATTATGCAACATTTTCAGGGGAAAACAAGGTGCACTGTGGTCTATAAGAAAATGGTGAATGCAGCCTAATCTTCTGGAGCCAGTTGTTCAAAAGTTGGATAGTGCTATCCACCAGGGGCCGGTTGCTCGAAGCCTGGTTAGCACTAACCGTTGGTTAAGAGGTATCAGAATGTATAGGTTTCCATGGTATTTAACGCTGGTTAGCACTAACCATGCTTCGAGCAACCCGGGCCAGATAAATCACTATCCAGTGGATAAGTATTCGGGAAACCAATAAATATTGCACTATCCACTGGATAGAGATTTATCCAGTGGATAGTGCTATCCACCTTTTGAACAACTGGGGCCTAAACAGAAGACATCTAAAATTTGTGGAGACCTTTCTCTACCCCATCTCTCAATCCTTTTTGTGGCATATTTTTCAGCCAGAAAATAAAGTAGCTTGTTTCCACATGTTACACTGGTCTCTTCTCTATGGGCTAGATAAACATGACTGAAACTGACAAGATCAGCAAGTTGTATATATTACCTGGGCTGCAATTACACCAAATGTTGGCAAAGTGCTAAAGTCTTCATGGCCTTCATAGAGAAACTTTAGATGGGAATCCTCTGGAACCGTCACTCCTACACCCAGTGCATACAGGA